AGCAAAAGCTGTTAGGTAAAATCATGATCTGTGTCCGGCGTCTTGAAGCTCCCTTGGGGGCACTCGCAGAGGTCTCGAGGGGCGGCACGGAGGCCTTGTGGGCAATCGCGGGAGCATCTTCGACATTCTTGGACCGGCCCTGGGCCCCCTTGAGGGCGTCTTGGGCCGCCTTGGGGGCCGTCTCGGTCCGACCTGGGCCGACTCGGACCTCTCCTGGGCCGTCCGGAGGCCTGCTGGGGGGCCTATGGGGAGCCGCTGCTGGGGCTCCCCCTGCGGCCCGAGGCCTAGGGGGCCCCGCCAAGCCGCTGAGGCACACTGACAAGTTGTGTGGGTGGATCTGCTAGAGCCACACGCGCGCGCGCTTCGCGCGCGTGCAGGTTCTGGTCCAGGAGTCGTTGTCCACATCCTCATTTCCCAGATGTCCTTCTGTGATGTCTTCGCCTCCTCTCTCGCAGCCTGGTCCGACGGCATGCTGGGAGGGAACACGTAAAAAATCAAGTTTCAGGAGGCCTCGAAGAGACGACGGCTCTGATGCTCTCTCCTCATCTTCTTCCCCAGAGCCACGCTAGCGCTTCGCGCGCGCTCAGGTTCTGGCGCGGGACACGGCCATGTCAGAACACGATGGGAGCATGTCGCGACCTCTTCTGGGGCACAATCTTAGGTCGGGCCTGTCCCCTACAGGGGGAGCTTGGAGGAACAATAGTAGATTATCAAAAAAACTATTCCGAAATTTTCAAAAATGATCAAAAATCGTCCCCTGACTGTTTTTGAATTATGTTTGCCCCTGTAGAGGGACATGCCCGACTTAAGCGCAATCACGCTTGGGATATCCCACGCGTTGACCGCTTCCTGCCCTGGGGTTTCGGCGGTCTCGGCCAAAGGCCGCCCGTTTTGCCGTGCACGGGCTATCGCGCCCGCGTGCAGCGCCCCTTCAGGCCTGCGTCAGGCCTCGCTGCGGTGTGCGAAGGGAACGCCCGTCCTGGCTTAGCCACTCAGGGGAGCAGGCTTCGGAGAGGATCGCATCCCAGTTCGGCGCAATCCCCACCACCCAAGCTTGAGTAGGTCGTTACTCCGTCGTTGGACGTTCGAGCCTTGTGTGTGGGGAAATTGCGGGTGTCTTCTGGTTCGGGTCCCGAGGCCGAGGGAGGCTCCTACGGGCTCGAGGCTCCCGAACCCCTGATATGTGTAGGGTTGCTGCGTTGCATGGCTTCCTGGATCCGAGGGACGCGGCTTGGGAGCCTCTGGGGCAGTCTTCGGGCGCTCTTGGACGCCCTCCGGGGGCCCTGTTTCGGCGTCCTGGGATCATCTTGAGCCGTCTTGGGACTCGCTTGGACCATCTTGTCGATCTCTTGGGATCCTCTTCCGCCTTAGGCGCGAGCTGGGAGGACGATGGCGCCGTCGTGGGGCGTCGGGAACGGAAAAGGGCGTCAAGGCCCAAACCGTCAAGCACCATTGGAATAACAATGGCTGTTGCATCCTGGGGCCCTCTTGGACGTCCTCTTGATGGCCAGGGGGGGTGGGGGCCTTCTGAACCTGATCGAGCGGCCTTGGCGCTGGTATGGGCCGTCTCGGGATCCTCTTGGGCCGTCGCGGGAGTCTCTGGGGTGCTCTCGGGGTGCTCTTGGACGCCCTCTCGGGGCCCTATTGGGGCGTCCTGACCGTCTTGGGGCTCTCGTGGGCCATCTTGGGGCCCGCTTGAAGCTTTTTGGTTCAGTAGCGCGGGTGGCGCAAACTTGACAAGAGTCCCTGCTCCCATGGGAAAGCTGAGGGACTAGCTGAGAGATAAACCCTCGAGGGTACGGCGCAAACTCCGCCAGTGCAGGAAATTACGCCAGAGCGGACCCCGGCGGCTTGAATGAGCCTCGCTGGTATGCCGCCGCCCTGGTCGGTCACTGCGCAGACCTTTGCCTGCGCACTTCCCCAAGATACCACGTATACATACATACATATACATATATATACACACATACATACCCACATACATACATACACACATACATACATACATACATACATACATACATAAATACATACATACATACATACATACATGCATGCATGCATGCATACATACATACATACATAAATACATACATACATACATACATACATACATACATACATACATACATACATACATACATCGCACATATACATACATACATACATACATACATACATACATACATACATACATACATACATAGATAGATGTATATATAGATAGATAGATACATACATACATACATCCATACATACATGCATGCGTACATACGTACAAAAAAACAAACATACATACATACAGGCAGGCAGACAGACATACATGCATGCATGCAAACCTACAGACATACATGCATGCATACATGCATGCATGCATGCATACATACATACATACGCACCTACATACATACATACATACGTACCGACAGACAGACAGACAGACAGACAGACAGACAGACAGACAGGCAGGCAGGCAGGCAGGCAGGCAGGCAGACAGACA